AAGTCTAACCTCACGATTAAAGTCTTCAAATGTCATGCCTTTGCTGGAAGCATCGCTGGCGATGCGCTCTACTTCGCGCAACAGATCACCGTCAACTAGTGTAAGCAGTTTAACGGAATGTTGTTCAGCTTTTCAGCCTTTTCGTTTCGCGAGGCTTCGAAACTGCATGCTCCATGTCAGCCAGTCCTTCGATGGACCACCGCAAAAGCACTTTATCTTCATTTTGGCGGCGTCAGCTGGTGACGTCGCACTTTCTTGGCACGTCACGATGGTGTACGTGACGTATTCATCCTCATTCCGTCCCATGATGATGGCGACGGGATTCTCGTACGGGATGTGACTGTATTAGCCAATTTGATATATCAAAATGACAAACCCGGCCCGTGGCTTGCAGCGGGGCTCGAGTCTAATGTAGTGAAATGGAGAATAAATATATTGAGGAGGAGTGTTAAACTTGGTAGGCTAGTCTGGTTTAATCAAATAAAATGGCTGGCGCAATCTTCTTTCGTCTGGCGCAATCCAAAAATGGTCTCGCGGGTCATATAGATAGACCACCCATGTCGCGTCATAACTCCAAAAATGCACACACTGGATACACCATGTACTCAAACGTCAACATGAATGGTACTGGAGCTACATAAACACTTTACCGCGTTCACCTGCCGTTGTATTCTGCTGCAACTCGACAGTACTAACGTCACAATTTTGCAAGCATATGTGGCAAAAATTTGTTCTTGAACCACGCGTATTCACGAAGTGTTCGCAGCGTATCTCATCGATAAGCTACGCTAGATATACATTGCTGAAAGTTGCTAATAGGAATAAAAATCCGTAAAATCTCCATCATCCTCCTTATTTGCGGTATAATGTCGTCAATTTATAGGCTCTATGAGAAATCTTCCGTGCTTTTATCGTGCCTTTTCTTGCATATAACGCCAACTACCGACCAGATTATGTGATCAATGTTAGTGTACGACATTCTAAGAAATTAATCAGTAGAGTAGTTTCCTATTTTCCCTCTATAGGAAGTCGTTGATTTTCTCCTTTAGAGTGATACACGGAAACGTTTAACAGAGCTTTGAATATTATTGCTGATTTAGGCAAACTTGTGTCCAATAGCTGGAAATTATGTTTTGCCGCTAAGACCTGCAAAGATTAGTGATTGTGCACCGGAAACGCAAAGCGATTTTAACCCCCGTAGAACGCGCTATGAACAATTCGCACTAGACTTCGAGATCCTGCTATTGAGATATGGGTGCGCATTTTCATCACGGGCGGGCAGTGTTTACACTTTTCTCGATCAAAAAGTACGTGCTCGCAAAGCCATTAGTAAATTTCTTTGTCAAGCCGATGTACATTTCCGTCTATGCACGGTGTGTCTGTAATTTTTTATATTGGAATATACATGCTCACCCGGAGACGACTATTCGATGATCTCGTACGTTCACTGGTATGGCGAAGTTATCAGTGGTTGTACGTAAGGTAAAAGTTAAACCTTCTCGGCAGCTACATTCCGGATATGTGTGCGTGATATTTCAGCAGATGCAAATTACTACAGGGAAAAACTAAGTCATGATGATGTAACTTTGACATTTAACCTTTCTTGAATCTTGTACTTGCAAACAAACACATACGAGGTAGCTGTTGATCTACTACCTTAGACACATAAGGACCTCTAAACCCTTCCACGTGCTTATTTATTGTTTGGTGTCATTGATCGCACTTCGTGTCGTTGGTTTTGTCGCATTGAAAGACTATTCGTTGTCTCTATATTATTTTATCCGACTTTTGAACTCGTCATTGGCACCTATAAGTAGCTTCATTGCACAGAAACTACACTAATTTATCGCTTCAAAGTTACCTAAAACAATTATTGGTCTCCTATCGTCAACTGTCCAGCCAATGTATGCAGGTAAGTAGATATTCAAATCATTATTTACTTATATGAACTGGAGTATTCACATATTGAGGCAACACACAGAAGTTGACCGTTCATCTCATTTTGTAGCTCTATTGTCCCATGTACCTTCTAGGGAATCAAACAAGTCATCCTGTAGCGGAATGAGCTGGTCAATTACTAATAGCTATTAGTCATTGTCGGATCGAAAGAAAGCCCTCATCACAGAAGGGATAATATGGACAAACGAATTGTATTTTTAATTTGGCCACGACTAGGGGCACACCCCACTGTTGCTAGAGGCACACCTCATTTTTGCTACGGGCACACCAGCCCACCTAAAATAATAAAAAAAGGACTTCACATTCTATAGTGCAGTATAATATGTAAAGCACGTATTCACTTACTACTGATCCATATCTCTTTATCTTACACTGCAGATCCACTCATGCGCAATACTTTATCAATCCATCTTGGTCAGGGCGGTATTCAAGCAGGCAATGCCTGCTGAGATCTCTACTATCTCAAACATCGTGTCCGATTCGATGGGTAGATGCCAAGTGACCTGACCATCGGCAGTGTAACGACTCTTTTGCGACGTTTTTTGCCAAATCAGGCACGGACAAACACGCGCCGCGTGCAGTATTTGTGGACCTTGAGGCTACCGTCTGTGACGACGTACGTACTAGTACATAGCGTTGAATGTCCCACCCCGGGTAGATTATTATGGGTAAGAAAATGCAGAAAAAAATTACGCACGAGGTATTACATCAACATGATGGAGACCGTCGCTGAGGTTATGGCTGTTATGTAGAAGCGCCACGATCGCACTTAATGTAGACCTGTTGCAGACTTACCTTGTTTCCTTTGATCTGGCGACTACGATGGCATACCCTTGGGTAGCCGCAAAACCGTTTAAGGTTGATTCCATTTCGTTCCTGGAAGGAAAGGTGGTATTAATGATAGCGGCAGGTGGGGGTTGGAGCTGTTTAGCGACGGTTGTTCCTTTCTCGGGCCTTCGTACGTCGTTTTAGAAGTCCAGCTGGTGGGTGTTATTATCCGTTGTATCCTGTCGTATTGTATGAGTATGAGGGGACATAGACGCAGATGCGCGGCCAAGACAAGTGTCTAACACAGGTTCTTTTTCTTTTCTAGTATGGGATACCCCCTCTTTAACATCCAGAACCCTAGTCCAAACAATCTCAGCAATATGGTTGGGTGCTTTACATACAATTGTATTGTACTGTCCGCGTACATAATTCTGCACTATAAAATGTGAGACCTTTATACCATTTTAGGCGTACGGGTCTACCCGTAGCAAAAATGGGGTGTGCCCCTAGCAAAAGTGGGGTGCGCCCCTAGTCGTGGCCTTTTGATTTTGATGTTACAATAACCAAACTTCTACCGATATTGCTAGACAGAGCTGGAAGCTGCAGCCTGACCAATTTTCGCGCAGGCCTTTAAGTTCCAAGCTAGGAAAGCTGATCGTAGTACGAAGCTGTCGTCCTTTTTGAATAGCGACGTTTTATTAACACGACAATGAAGGGTCCACTAAGTTTCCTACAGGAAGCACACATCTACGAGGAAAGCTATCAAGGTGTGACTAAGCATGGAAACCGACCTTTTCTGATAATTGTTTTGAAACTTGAGAACCTTAGCGAGTGTCAGCTGTCATTTCATGTGCCAAAGAACTTTTGTTGGCATTGGCTCAAGGTCACGGACAGTTTGACACCCGTGTCAATGTGCTTGGCAAGACCTTAATCCCCACCGTTCTTGACGATAGATGGCACACCCGCTAGACTTCATACAAACTACCGTTTACCATGATCTTCACCTTTGAACTTCGCCATTGTCCACCGTGCTTTTATTTGCACGAAGACGTTGCCACATACTCGGCTTTCGCAGGAGATGTAGAACTACGTTATTGCAGGATTGCCCAATAATGGCTGATAAAATGTTCATCCTCAACAAGGCCCCCAGTCGGGCATCGAGCGTCCTTGTTATTTTCTTATCCAGCGTCTCCGAATGCACTGAGCTTCCATTCACTAGAAATGTGTCGATGCGATCGATACTTCGCTGCAATCGACTGCAGGTAGCGTAGCATACGATCAGCCATATCGCTTTGCTCTTTACTCGGCTACTCTGATTCTAGACATAGCTGTCCCAACGAGAAGACGACGTCAGGTCTTGTCTCGTTTGCTACGTACATAAACGATCTCATTCGAAATCGACACAGGCGGGTACTTCCTGTAAGCCTTTTATTTACACTTGAACAGTGTTGAGCCATCACAGTTGGGCTCACATCGGTCTTGCACATCCGTAACGAATTTTCGTAGCCGTTGCAGCAATGCATGCGCTTTAGATGGCTCTTAGCCACTGCATGTTCATGTCGTGTTTGCTATTCGAACACGAATGAATCGCTACTTTCCAATGTCTTCTGCTAAACTGTCTCAGCAATTTCCCGGTAGCTATTGTCATCGGGTCATGGGGATGGTGGTCAATACTGAGCAAATCGCCCACAGACAAAGTCGTGAAAACCTACAAATGACTCTAATTTTGACGGACGAATACACGAGCATTCAAACATGTATGCGAAAACGCCTGCTCTTACGGTAACTAAGAAATGTCTTTGACCGCGTTGCAGCAGCTTGGTTCGAATCATAAGAGCTTGCGTTGCAGCTGAGGTACTGAGCACCCAAGTGTATTCGAAACAAAACACCGAGATAGATGTGATATTCACATATCAACAAGTCTTGTTTCATTCAGAATCACATGGAGGTACCGAGCACATTAATGAGTAAACGTCATCTAGGTGAGTAGGTCCGGCAAATGGACTTGGAAAACTGTTGGCGAGCAGAAGTGGTCGATGCGAGACTTGATCTACATCAGCCACGTGAATGTTGTCGGCACAAAGCGAGGAGATCACCATTGCGTCAAGCTGCATGACGTACATGCACCCGTTCATGCAGCGAACTCGACGGCTTGCTTGACGAATTAGATGGAACAGTCTCTCGTCGGCATGTAAAACAAGTAGGACCCACATTGCAGTCGATAGATACTCTGATTTTGTGCGACATGCGCTCCCGAATGTATCAACCTCGTGTTATTGCTGCAGTAGCTCCTCCTTCCACAACGCAAGTAGTTTGCGCAGCTCCGGCTCCCTGTCAATAACAGCCTTCTTCGCAGCGACGTCGCGTTGACTGCTACCATCTGCCGTAACAACGATCTCAAACTCATCGGCACTCGTGTCGTCGAAGTCGAGCAACTCGATATGGCCCGAGACATCGCCACTCGCCCACGAAAACTTGACCGACAGCTCGTAACCGCAGCGCTTCTTCCCGCGACTAAACACCACCTGCCAGCAGCAATTGATGCGCTACTTGTAAGCGGCATACTCGAGCATCAACAAGATGGTACGGCACCACCACATACCTTGGCTTCTCCGTCACAGCGTACAATAGAAGTGGCCTTGACACACAGTCCTTCTGCTCCACCATCAAAGCTAAAGGACGTCAAAATGTGGTGTTTCAGGCGCTCTCGCGCCCACTCGGATTTGTCGCGTTCTTCCCTATGATTCAACATACGCTACAAATGAGAACCTGCCCACTCGCACCACCTCTTCCTCCTATACCAAGATGGCTACACTTGATCGATCGACAATAGCGCACGTACCAAGTGCCTGCACTGTTCCATGCAGACCTCGAGTCACTCGAGCAGTCCACTGCTGTCGCCACAGTAGCATCTCCAATTCGCACGGGGGTACAGTCCTGCACACACGTCGACACAGCAATGCCGTCTCTCAACGTCAGCACCAACACAAACAAAACAGCGCTACAGACAGTCAAAGGACACACAAACACACAAACACAAACACACACACATAGACGCAAACACGCAGACGCAAACACACGCAGACGCAAACACACAGAGCGGACAGAGGGGGGTACGACCTGCGGCGTCTGGGCGATCGTCTTCATCCAGCCATGATAGCCGCTGTGCAGCTGCGTGGCGTCGTCGTCGTCGTCGCTCGACATGGCGCTATTTCGTGTGTCGGTACACGAGTTCGATTCGCGTGGGCGGACGTCTTGTGCCACACACACTGTACACACACAGACACACAACGCCCACAAAACGAACCGCACGAGCCACTTGCCGCACCCTCCCACACCGCTTCACGGGCAAGTGGGGAGGACCTCGTCGTTGATTGGTTGAAAAAAGACGCCACCTTTATCACGCGGGCCAACAGGTCGACGACGACTGGGGCAGACGCCGTCATGCCGAGTGCCTGGAGCACGCACGTGACGAAAGAGGGGCGGACGTACTACTACAACCGCCACACGAAGCAGAGCGCGTGGGAGAAACCAGACAGCGCTGATGAAGACGAGACGAGCGCTTTGGCTGCGGCAGCAGCAGTGACGTCGTCGTCCGTCTCTGCTACTGCTATTGCTATTGCTGCTGCTGCTGCTGGTTCGGATGCGACAAGTGGCGAGTGGGAGGAGCTGTGGGACCCGAAGAACGCGCGCGCGTATTACTACAACCGCACGATCCGTAAGACGCAGTGGCAACGGCCGGAAGGCGTGACGATCAAGTCGTATGCAGCAGCTGTCGGGAAAGAGAAGCGACATGAGAAGCACCACCGCAACCACAAGAGCAAGAAGAGCAGCAGTGAGGTCGCATGTATTCAAGTACAGAGTGATCCGATGGACAAAAAGCTGGCAGCCATGGATAGTACAGAAGAACTCAAGTCAAGTGGAGGTGGGACAAATCACGTGCAAGTCGAGGACGCTGGAAAGAATGGTGAGACGGTAACGCACTTGAAAAAGCGAAAGAAAAAGTCAAAGAGGGAAAAGGTAGAGTCTGTAGCGATTGAAAGTCAATTGAAACGACGTCGACAGCACGAGGAGCGACTTATTATTTGTGACGACGAAGAGCTGGACAACAATAGGACCAAGGACATTGAGGAGAAGGACACGGAAGACGGTAAGGAAGCGACGAGACTATTGCAGGAGCTGTCCAAGACAGATGCTATTATGGAGGCCAATGTGCTGTCAGTGATTAACGGATTTTTGAGAGCCCATACGGAGTCAAATGGACCCGAGATTCTTGTGGAGAAACTGTCGTCGTCGTACCGTGGTCATGCGCAAATGATCGGGCTCGTGGCATCTTGGTTGGACACGTTGCCGGTCCCTCCGACGGCGTTGGAGAACAAGATGACGTTTGATGTCAATGAAGGGGCAGTGGTTGCGCACAGAGGCGCGTCGTGGGATCCAGCCGAGGAGATCTTGTTCAATCATTTGAAAAAGGTTATGAACGAAAATTACGACCCGAAACTTGTGTCGAATGTGCTGAGTGGGTCGGTAGTCGAACCTGAGTGGCTGACGCAGATGCTCAGCGACCGCAAGTGGAGGCTCATGCTTATCGAGCTAGCGGATACACACAAGGTTGTATGCATATGGTGAGATGGCATATTTTAGACTGTGAATGCTGATTCGTCGCCTTGGTCATTATGTTCCAGACTTGTACTCTACTGCAGTACGCAATTCGACGGATTTCCGAAGCAGGTCACCACAAGGAGATTGCGTCGATCACTAGCGCGAACGCTTTTTTCCCAGTATTTAGCGGCGTATTAGTGGATGCACTCAGTCGGGTAAGTCAACGAAAACGGTATCTGCACTGTCGTAAGCAAAATGATACTAAATGTTGTATGTGCCAACATCTTCGACAGATTCCATTTGCCGACGAAGAGGAAGTGGTAGAAGATATCGCTGCTCTGAATAAGATTTGCTGCCAATCTTCGCACTCGTATGCGTACGCTCAGGAGCTTCTGGGTTGTATCGACGACAAGCTGTTTTCGATACAAAGTGGTGTCGGCGCTGAGAGCCCAGAGTATTCTCACATTCACGTGGTGCGCTCTAAGCTGAACCGTGTGCGTGGTGAGCTTCAAGAGACGGCGAATAGCAGGTTTGGGGAAAAAATTGTTCCGTTCCACATTTTGCACCGGCGATACATACACGACGCGAACCCAACGTTTTGTGACGCGATTTTGTCAATCGTCAAAACAAAGAAATGCTCTGAGCTGAGCGCAGAGGCTCTAGTAAAGGCGTACCAGACGTCAGATATCCCGCCTCCGGTTGCCCACCTGCGAGACCCTATGGTACGTTTTTTTCTGTTTTGCTCGAAACTGCTTGGGATTGTGCCGTGTTTCTAATGGCGCAACCGCATGTCTCCAGGTCCTATCAAGTCTGCTTGATCGACTATTTAACCCGACCACCTTGACTTCGCCGGCATTTGTGCAAAATTGTGTGTTCCTCTTAGCATATGCAGCGTCTACGAAAGACGAACGGAGCTTACTGCAAACTGGAGTTAAAGAACTGTCCCATGATGTCAAAGCCGATGATGATGGTCTTACTGTAACGAAGAAAGCCCTTGTTGAGGCCTCAGCAATATGCAAGTCAGATCACACTTTTGGTTATAATGTAAGTCGTGTGATGTGCTCAGTGCGCGTGCGTTTGTAAGTCAAACGCGTTCTATCAAAGCTGACGGCTCGTGTGTATGCGCTTGACAGATGAACCAGTCGGGTGTGGTGGACAAGCTGATTTCGGTGATGTCTGCGCCTGTTGTATCAATGGGCGTGTTGCACTGGCTGGAAGTAATCCTCACGTCTCCTGGGTTCTTCAGTAGCACGCCTTTGCACATATGCTTCCCCAGCCTGCTCCGGATACTAAAGGCGTCTATCAAGCTTCACGTTGCACAATGGCCAATCTCTTTTAGTGTGCTTGTGACATCGCTTCGGTTGCATCCTGAGAATAATCCGGTGAAGGCACTGGAGCTGAAGCGAGAAACACTTCGGTGCATGGTGTTTATGATCACTAGTGGGTACGTGCTGCCGGTATTGGAGTTCGTCTATACCAACACTTTGGAGCTCGATCAGGCATTGCTTCGAAATTTCATCTCGATGCTGCTCGCACGAATCGCGCCGCCGTTCTCACCAAAGTTTTCGGTGGCGTTGACGAAAATTTTGACGCACCCGAAAGTGCAGACTGCAATAAAGTTGTGCCCAGCCGAGAGCAAGGCAAAGTTGCGGAGCTTCGTGGGCTTCTGTAAGAAAAACCCGGGCGTGTTGTCGTCGGAACAGTTGCACTCACTGGCTGTCGTCCAGGAAGGACGAGATTAACATGGCAGATTGAAATATTGATGCAAGGATGTGCAAACTGCTGGAATTGAATCAAAGACGTTGAGAGATCAATACGACGACAAACTTGCGTACCTGAACGCGACGGAAAGATGTAGCTATTTGTGGCAAACGTCAGCTTGCATATAAGCACTATTTCGTGTCAGCTTTCCACAGCGCAGTTGTGTTGCGAAAGCAGCAGTCGAACTTTGTGCTCACCTTGAGCGAGGCGTTTCATTACGCCTTTCTCTCGGTCTTACAACCGCAGCTTGCTGGTCGTCGATGCTGCCGATGAAACGATGTGTTCAACGTCCTGGATGTTAAGTCCTTAGCACAGGTTCACACAAATTGTTGCGGGCCGTTTCCTTCGATGAAGGAGCACCTTTTCAGTTGCGGGGTTGCGGGCCAATTGCTGGTAGCTGGAGCTCAAGTTTGTCAATTTGATGATCGAATAGTCAGGTATGCTTGCCTTGAGCTACCATGCGTCTCCACCACTGACCGTCTGCTTTATATTACTTGGACTTTGCCGCGCATGACGCTAGTCGGTAGTTTGCCGTCTCCGTCTAAAACGCAGTACATGCATTTTTTCGCGAAAGACACGGTCGCACACCCCAGCAATGCCTTTCAACGGTGCTGTGGAACGCTGCAAGCTCCCGAGTCCTCAGGTCCTCGTGCCCCCCACCTAACCTCTTGGATAACAGTACAGTAAAGACCATACCCCAACTCTTGTCTCCGGTGTCTGGGGATTCCAGAACGTCCCGATGAGCCCAGCAGTTGATCTTGAACGTCGGTCGCATAGCCAACGCTCTGTACAGGTTCGTTATCAACCAAGGTTTTGTTGCAGTTTTAGCTTTTTCGAAGCAATGGTTATAGTTTTACACGAAGAAGTTGACCACCCGTCCGAGGACAATATGACGCCGAGCCGATCTTGCCATCCACCGACACAGCTCTCTTTGCGTAGCATATCCACACCTCGTAACGATAAATCGTATAGTGTCAATGGACATCGGTGCTGGCTTTGCTGCGACCCCATAACGACGTCGAGCAGCCACCGATTCCACAGCAACTCGAATCGACTCACTTTTGCGAAACTAAACAAGTTGTACATGATACAAAGAAGCAGTTTTCACTAGTTCTTGTGATCAAAACATATGGTGCATCAAACACCGTTTAACTTATTTAGTAAACATTGAACGAATGTTACATTTGATGGGGACATACGTCCAATGTATACTGAATCAGTTGATATTGGTAAATATTGCCAATTCAGCACCACTCCACTTCTTGGTCAATATAGACCATTGTGTCAACTATCTTAACGCCCGATCGCTGCTACACGCGCGCATTGGATAATGAGCGAGTAAATACATCCGAGCTTTGTAGTATAATATGGTAAAAGTAAGATCAAGCGGGTTTTTATCAGAAAACGTAACTTTATTATAGTATAGTTCCACTTCTTCCTTCTCTCAAACGTGTTCGTTTAGGAGACTAAGCCTCACTCTGCACGTAAAGTGTACGTGAAGATGCAAGGCAAAGACCTACGATGTGTCAGTGAAGGCAGATTGTACAGTGTCAGTACAAGCGGACGGTATCCCGCTTCAGCTATGCTCCAAAAACTAAAACTCATTCATGCAGCTGATCCTTGAACCGAACTAAAACCGCTCAGCCCGTAGATCTGCTGCATCAATAGATCGGCTTATCCGGCCTGCGAGAATTCCGTCCTGCCCACCCGCTCCAACAAGTCATCAAACATGGCAAGCATCTTGTCCAGCGCCTCCACCGACACTACTGAGGTTTTCGGTAAATTGACTTTCGTTGGTCGAGTACTGGCCATCGACCACCACAGCGAGTGTAGCTCCTTGAGCTGCGACGCCAACACGTTCTGTTCGGCCCATAAAGTGTAGAAAGCTAAGCAGTTGCGCTCGTGCAATGAAGTAGAAGTAAAAAGTAAATGTATGTCGTGTATACCTCCCTTGTCACCTCTTCAGCATCCTTTTCTAACGACACTGCAACGTTTCCGCGTCAAGTTGCACATGCGTATTGTCTGATCCACCCATCATCTTAAGATCATCCTGTTAGAAAGTGCATTTCGTTACGGCTGTATAGTTGCTTCGCACTTCAAAAAAAGCTTGAAGCGGCGTGCTTGGGCAGTTGAAGTAGCGGCTAACGACTTACAGCTTGTAGAATTATCAACTTCGGTCATTCTTCGCTGCAGAAATTATCTTGGATGGACTTGAGTGATAGGTATGCAAGGCAGATAACGCAGTAGCGACACATAATGGGAGAATCCTTTTGTTTTAGCGCTAAAAATTATTCTTGTACATCAAGCAACATGGCTATCGAACAGATCCGACGTGGGTGTCTGTGTCTCCTCGTCCCACACGTCATGATATTATGATGGTCCGATGTGGCGACCGTACCTGCGTATCAAACGCCCAACTTCCGTTCTGTGCTGTAAAATGGAAAGTAGTATCAAAAGTTGATACCAGTTAAATGAATAATTGAATCCTCTCATAAACTGATCTTTCGTTCTACATACTTCGAAGACCACTGTTCATGCAGGTTGCTCTTTTCGCGACACACTTAGCTATCGTGATTTGTGATCCCCCAAAATTTCTGCGTCCCATCCGTCGAGTATTCACTAACCATCCAATCAGGTGAGGCCGACACTTATTGGTAATATGCCTTGTACTTGAACCTTCTACCGTCACGACCTCATAGAAACAACATCATCGAATATTGATAATGTTTACATAATGCTGAAATGGTGAGGTAGATGTAACATGGGTCGATACCGCCATATGTCATTTTAAGATAAATATCGATACGTGTCGCATCGATGCAACGCGTATGCCTGTGTATGTGTGATGTTTATCGTATAAACTGGTAATGCTTTGTCTTGTAGTCGTTACCAGTAGTTTTAACATAATAAAATTTGACAGCCAACAAGCGGCGTTAGTGCTCTCGAATGAAACTATTTACTGTAGACCTTAACAAATCGTCACACTGAGGATCTTTCACTAAGCTTTATCCAATCGATGACACTAAGCGTGCCTGCAACAACCTCGCTGAAATTTAGGCGTAGAATGTCGGGAATAGCTAAGCGCGAAATTTACTCAACGTTCATTGACTCCTGTCATTTCTGAATACGCTCATTATCATTGAAATGAACATTTGTCATTGTAGTATTATCAAGCATGTCTAAAAGATCTCGTGAATAGGTAAATTGTGTAACGTGGAAAGTCCAATTCGACTGATCACCCCCCCCCCCGATCTACTACCGTACAAAATCGCAAAATATTGACCTCATGTAAGTGCACTTAACATTTCTGAATCAAAGGATAAATTGACTATGAGAAGAGGAGGTCTTTCAAAAGCGCATATTTCCATCTATCAATAAATGTATACTTCGTGTGGCTTTGGTGCGGTCAAAACAAGTAGGTGACAACGAACGCACTTTAATTCAGCAACGGCTTCCGTCAGGATAGCGTATCTACTACAAATAACATGTGCCTCGTTAGGTAGTTTGCACGATAGAGTCTATGCTAGTGCTGCACGCGCGTTCGTCGCGACTGTATGCTTCCGAAAGGTAGACTGCCTACTATGAAGATCAAACTTCGTTGCATCGGTTATTGGTCGAGGCGGGGCACACTTGCCTTCCCCACTTGGATAGAGAACAGTCTGCAAAGGTAATTAAACCTCTGCGGATTTCGTACTAATTTGCTGTACAATTTTACAAAGTAGACGTACACAATCCTCTTTTTTGACATCTTTCGATGCTTTGTACATGCGGTAAAGTTATATCGTTTAATACGGATAACTACTTTCCGAATGCTGAAGAAACAATCATTTCACTGCAAGTTTCTGTATGACGTAGTGACTGTGTTAAGTGGCTCATTGCTAACTGGTAGGTGTTGGAAATGTTGGATGTTGGAAATGGGTGCGAGGGCAAGAATAGGCGATCGGATTGGTCGGCCGGTGACTTGAGGTTTATTTGGGGCCATGATGTCATTAACTTGCTGTGCGCAAATGGTGGACGCAGAGTGACAAGCATAATAGTGTTTGTATTCAGGTAGAGTCAGAATGCGTGCAAATAGATGATTGGAGCAGAGGGCTTTGGGGAGCACGGTAGAGGAGAGGGAACTAGTAAGAAGCAATACAGAATCTAATCGTCCACCTACTGCATCCTACTGCAACGCATACTTGCCAACAGGTTATGAGCCCAATGGCTGAAGCAAACGAAACGACTGTCAAGGCACCAGGAGGTGTCGCGCGAGCTGCGCTAGGGCGTGGAACACCAGCGCGTGTGCCCTCGTCGGCGAACACGCCGGCAGTCGTCAATGGGGCGCCCACCCACGAAAGGGGCGAGGCGACCGATGACAAGTTCCTCGCGGCCCTCGCCTCAATTACCGACCGCCTGTCGAAGCTCGAGTCTTTGCAGCGCGTCCGGGACGAAGATGAGCGGATTCTTGGAGCTGTCGAGTGCGGCAAGTTTGCATCCAAGATAAAAGCGAACATGCGTGGGCGCCCCATGACCATCGATGCGCTTGGGCTACTGGAGGAGAAACCAGCAGCGCATCGTGCGGGCTTGCGCTGGCCAGATGATGGCGAGTAGATGTTCGCCTCTCTCGCGCCGCCTTGCGGACAGCATCCAGATCAACATCGCTTCCGGCGCAAGCAGCCGAGCCCATGGCCGCGCCGCGTCAAGAGGCGCCGCCATCTGCGAGGCACATGACAGCAGCGATTGGCAAATATGGGATGCCGACCGCGAGCCAGCAAAAGCTCAACATTCGCATGTTTGATGGGACGGAGCTTTGCAAAGGATTCGGGAGCGGTTTTTTTTACCGAGGACGCACCTTCATGCGCGATGTAATCCTTGCTGAGGCGTCTTACGGTTTCATATGGACAGAGTATGTGAAGGTCGATCTCCTTGGCCATTTTTTGGCCGGTTCTGCGGAGCGCTACTACCACAAACAGGTCGACACTTGTTGGGTGCAGCAGCC